ACTAAAGTTTACATAAACTGTTTTGCTTATTTTTACCAGATAAATGTCCCTTTAATGTGCAGACCCTGTATCGCTAATGGCGGTTTTCCACTAAACAGACAGTTGAGTTTATGTCCTGTTTGTGTTTTCTAGAACCTGAAAAACAAAAGCAAAACTGAAACAAAACCAAAACTCTTGTTTCCATCAAGCGGGCTACATTTTGTTCGAGTTTTGTTTTTGTTTTCGGTCCTTTTCCACTGGTTGTCGCGAAGAAGTCAGAATACATTTTTCCAATAACCAATGAACATGTTTAGAGAAGATTTTTTATTCTTAGTTATGGCTGGTTTATACTGAAGTCCTTGGAAAAAAAGTATATGTATATATGTACGGTTGAAGTGGTTACTTGGTTAGTTAGTTAGGTTGTATACTAGCCAAGTAAACACCTTAACCGTACACATATATATTTTTTAATAGCTATAATTCATTAATGATTAAAGTATTGTTTTTGGGAAGAAGAAAACGCCAACATAGATATTGGGTTGGATCACTTAAATAGAAAACACAACAGGACCGTTTCCACTAAACAGACTTGAGTTTCAAAACACGTCGAAACCTTTTGATGTGACCGCATTCGAGCGGGACCCGAAAAACAAAACTCCAACTGTCGCAAAATACACCAGTCTTCAAAAAGTTTTGTTTTATTCGACACAAGTTTGTGTTTTGTTTTTGTTTTGTCCGTTTAGTGGAAAACCGCCTTTACGCAATGAGAAAATCTGTCATTGAAACAATTCTTACCATTCCAAGAGCTCCCTTGACCGTAATATTCCGAAACCACCAAAGAAGCGATTGACGGATGGGTGGGCACAAAAGCCAAAGCACTTGCCGTCACGATTACTAGACTAGACCAAATCCTAGTCGACACCTCCATCAGCTCTGGTACTTTTATAATATCCCTCTTAGTGTCTTCCACGCTGTTATCTATATGGTACTGGTAGTAACAGACATTTTTGCNAGCGGGACCCGAAAAACAAAACTCCAACTGTCGCAAAACACGCCAGTCTTCAAAAAGTTTGCGAAAAGTTACAGTTTTGTTTTATTCGACACAAGTTTGTGTTTTGTTTTTGTTTTGTCCGTTTAGTGGAAAACCGCCTTTACGTAATGAGAAAATCTGTCATTGAAACAATTCTTACCATTCCAAGAGCTCCCTTGACCGTAATATTCCGAAACCACCAAAGAAGCGATTGACGGATGGGTGGGCACAAAAGCCAAAGCACTTGCCGTCACGATTACTAGACTAGACCAAATCCTAGTCGACACCTCCATCAGCTCTGGTACTTTTATAATATCCCTCTTAGTGTCTTCCACGCTGTTATCTATATGGTACTGGTAGTAACAGACATTTTTGCTGACGTAAAAGAGGACCAGAGTTGCTGTTGTTAAGATGCTTCCCAGCGTGAAGTAAATGAGAGCGGAAGCCTCGGAAGAAGTTCCTATGGCCAATGAGAGGACCTGGAGAGCTGAACTGAAGATTCCTCCTACCCCTTGACCGATGAGGAACGTTTTCATGTACCCCGCGGGAAATTTCGATAAGAGCACGAAGGAACTTACCTGAAATAAGGCGAGTATCCCTAAAATTAAGTTAGAGTTAATCTGAAATTTTGCCTAAATACTAAATTTCGAAAGTTCAAATTTTCGTTAACTGTAAAATTGTATATAACGCTCGTCAAAATTAGTAAAATGAAGTATCAAGTTCCAAAATTGCAGGCAGTAGTCATAAACAAATCAAACCACAATATTTACTATTTCTTAATGCGATAAAATAATTTTTGTATTCTCTTTAAGGAAATTGTAATGTACTGTTCATTTCGCGTAGTGTTCCGATATTTCTGTCTTAACGTCGTGTATAAAAAAAAATTGAAGCTGCAACTTCTCGAAATCTTGTTGTCAGTTTGTCATTCAAACCTCGTCGAAACCCTTTCGGATCTAGTGCTGTGATTGTCGTGGATAATACGTCTTACCATAGTTGACAAATAGAAAAATTGCCAACATCTGCATGGAGAAAAGAAAAAATCAGTGGAAAATATATTATATATATATAGACGCCATGCTAAAGATAGATTTATTAGCACAAAAAGGGAAAGCCAAAGACAGAATGTGTAGTAGATAAAGTGGCTAAAGCTCACAATGTTACACTTTTTCCATTGCCACCATATGTGGCACGAAATAACTTTAAATTAGAAGATAATAGAAGTACTTCTGCATAAAGAACAATGAACGTGGGACCTCGACACAAGAGTTGAAGTTATTATATGATAGCGTTAGTGACAGTGATCGTGATAACTACAACAAAAATTAGTGATGCTTGTGATGGTTCTAGTGTTTTATCGGTGGTACATTTGTCAGTGGTGTTTGTACTTTTAGTTGCTTTACTTACATTTCCTATCAGTGATACCAAAGTGAGTGCAAATTCCTAGGGATAATCTAGTTTCTAATAAAATCTACATATCTGTTTGTTGTTCTATATTAAATGATTTTTGGAAGCTTCCAAACTGATACGTCCATGGAATCGCATTCCCCGCACATCTTAACCCACATACAGATCTATAGGTTGAATGAGCCACTGCCTGCTATTTTGGAAATGTAGTATAAGTAATTTAAAGGTTTCTCATTTTACTTTAATTTTATGTTAGTTTTAACTAATAAGTAATGTTTTGAATATATCATGAGTCCTTACCATTCATTATTGCCAAAATCGTCATCGTCAACGCAAAGAATAGTACTTGCCCTAAACATTAGATAAAAATAGAAAAAAAAATATTTTTAGATCTTATAAGAAGTAACAAAGATCAAGACACAATAATACAGGGTATTTCTGAAATAAGTGTGTATCTTGAAAAGGGCGATAGAGGGCATGAAAATTAGTAACTTTTATTAAGCAATTGATAGTCTAAAACACTACATTTTAAATTGAAAAAAATTCACATAAAGGTTTAAACAAATTTAAAGGCGGGCTTTGATATCGCAATTACCGCGCGCCGCAGTGCGAAAGCGCTGATACGATTTTGACGGTTTAAATTTTGTGTTCGAAAATGCTGATATTTTATTCAAATCCCGTTTGTGCTAATGAACATGCTAACAAACGACGGTCAAAATTAGACCCAATACATGCAAATGGCGGACAATAGACGTTGCGTATACATTTTGTTTCATACCCCCTCAAACAAAAATTCCAGAAGGTTCTGAGGGTTGCTTATGGTATGCAGCATAATAAAACTCCGTTCTGAACGATAAAATACATAGAAGTATTTTTATTGAAAACGAAGTTTGTGAGAAAAAAGTGTGGTCGAGGCAAGCGTTCGCTGGATAGTCGTCTTGGTGTGTAGTCGCTCGCAGGTATAAGTATCTAGTCCTTAGCGCCAATCTGCGTAGTCCTCCTCCGGGAACCATATCCCGCGTTCCACATTGTTTCTTGTCGTTTGCAACGATTAGACCGTCCGGCGTCAGGCTGGCACTCTTGACGTAAGATTTAAAATGTCACTTGCGGACATATGTAGTATGTACCCACAGTTCGTACCCGGACTTCGTGCTGGCCAGCGTATCCACCTTTCCGGAAACCTGATATGTATAAATTCACAAACTGCACGAGAAACGTGGGGAGGAACACAATCATGCATAAAGAACATTGGGGCATGGACTTGTAAAGGGATGTCTTCCAATAAATTCGGTAAAGCGTTTGTTAAAAATTCTAAATATGCAGCACCATTTAAACATGCAGGTAACACTATCGGACCGAGTAATTTGTCACCAATAACACCACATTCACTGAAAACCCGAGAACCGAGATCTCTGTACAACTTGAGGATTTGCATCACACCAATAATGATTGATTGTCGTCTAGTAAAACATTCATCCGTAAAAAGCACCTTCCTTGTAAAATCCGGATCTTGTGTGATGTAGGCCGTACACGTGCACAAGATGCACAGGGTCGGCTTACATTTATGGTAAATTTTCTTAATGAATTTTCTCGAAAACGGAAGCGTTTAGACCATCAGTTGCTTAATAAAAGTTGCTCATTTTCGTGGCCTCTATAACCCTTTTCAAGAAACGCGCTTGTTTCAGAAACAACCTGTATACCTACAAGGTTGATCATAAAAAATTCGATATCTAGAGGTATCGGTCCCCTCATTTTCGTTTAACGTGTAGGTAAATATAAAGTATTAATGTATCGTTTAAAAAAAAAACTGAATGATTTAACGTATACCATACTCACATGAGTCCGTATTTATTTTTATCAGCACCGTTGATAAAATAAAACTGCTAGCCAAAACAAACAGGGACGCGAGCACTCTCGTCCTAGCTCTTATTTTGTATCCAAATATCGTCGATAGCATCAGACATATTATCGTAGGCACCGATTGGGCAATCGTCGACCCGGAAGCAAAATACGACTGAAGCTGAGATCTGTCGTTCGGATCAATGGTTTCTGCTGATGTGTTCCTGAACTTGTACATCCAATACTAAAAAACGATAATCAATAACTGAAGCCGTAATCACAACAATGAATAAAAAATAAAAGTAATTGATAAGTAGATGAATGATTGTGGCAAGTGTTTGTAAATAACTACATTAAATATAAACAATCAAAAAATGAAAGAAAATGTATATAATTAATCACAGGTTTGTTTCCGCAGAGAATCCCTGATAGTTTGAAAACTATTTGCAATGCGCATGGTCGAGAATTGGTGCTGCGCGAATACTGTTCCTTCTGTTAGCTACTTCCTAACCTCATTTCATTTTTGAATGATTTGTTTGTCAGTTTTAAAAAAGGTAACACTACAATAATGACCCTACTGCACAAGTAATTATAAAATAAAACTGCATTGGTACGTTTTTCAATGCAATATAGTTTATAGCTTTTATTTATAAAATTTAACATTTAACATTTTGCTTCTGTTCTTTATTTTTCACTAAATTTACTTGTACGCATGCGTCGAACTGGTGGTTTGATGATAGTCAGCTAACTGTCATCAAACCGTTTGAGATTGGTTTCAAATTCTGCAAGACCAACGAATTATCAGTTTTGAGACTGAGTGAACAAACCTATAGAGTACTTACGTCATTAGCAGTTACAAAAAATGATATTGGCAGTAGATGCATTATACCAAACAACAAAAATAGTAAATGGACCATGTAAAATGCGTCGTTTGGTGGAGGTTTCATACTGCTTAGCTTCTTTGTCTGATTCTCCATTGCACTTGTATCTAAAGATGACCCTGCAATAACATTAGTTGTTGTATTAACTATACATTCAATTCAAAATTAATAGTTGTAATATGAAGATAAAAACTATCTCAATTGTCTCTTATATACAGGGTGTATCATGAAGAGGACCCAGTAGGATTACCTCAAAAAGTAGTCAAAATTGAAATCTGAAAATTTGTATAGAGGGATTTATCAAAAAGATCAAGTTCAATGAAAATAGTGTCAACTTTCTCGCACTTCCGGTTATAACGGAAGACATCATCAACTCTGTTATTTCAAATGGAACACCCTATATATTTTTGCATTTTTTAATTCTACGGTAAATTCTAGACTAATTTCATATAAAGTACTATAGGCCAAAATGTGACAGTTTCCAAGTTATTATCAATTTTCAAAAAAATTGAGGATGCAAGTGATTTTGGAAAACAGAATAACTCCAACATTTAGCTTTATTTATTAATGAAATTTGGCGTGGATAATTCAAAAGCAATGAAATTCAACCAGTTTATGTCAAATTTGCAAGAATTCATACAGAGTGTTTAAGAACATGTGGCCAATATTGTGACGTTAAAGTTGAATTCGCTCAAATATTCCAAATGGTACACCCTGCATATTATTACATTAATCGATGCACAATTAAATTTACTTTAAAATGAAATTGGAAATTATTGATTTCAACACAGAAAAAGCTACGGTGGATTTGATGCATTAAAGAATTGAACAACTTATCCAAAAAAATTTGGGAATAGATGCGACATGAGAAATGGAGTTAATAACGTAAAAAAAAATTTGTAAAATCCTTATAGTTTCCGAGAAAAAAATTATTGAAGTTGGACAACTGTAGTCACTAGCGTCATTCGCAATACGCGTGGAGAGCAATGTGACTCCTAATACTGAAATCCGTCGTTGCGGTAGTTTTTACCTGTTATCTGTGGTGTTTACAACAGTTTTTATTAGTTAGTGTCAAAAATGGTTTGCGTGTATAGCAACTCAGAGTTAATGGATATCGTTTTAATTTATGGTGAAGCAAGACAGCATTTGTATTATGGTGAAGTATTTGTGTTATGGTGAAGCAAGACATCATTTGTGTTAGTTCGTAGAAAGTTAGTAAGGCGGACCCAAATGTGTTTACATGTTAGTGGATAAATTTTTGAACAATTGTTGTTGTAATATTGTATGTCAAATGATTTTATTATTTAAAAACACAAATTAATTTTATTAATAATTAATAAAGGCAAAAGCATTTGAATTTGCCGATATAAAATAGGTGCTATAAAATTCTATTTACTTCTTTCCTTGCGAAAGTTTTTGTCCGTTTTTATCACACCGCCATGCCGGTCGCATTGTGCGGGGTCAGGTTTTACAGTGAACCAGTTTCCAGTGCCGTGCAAAAGTGTATTTTTAAATCAATTTCGAACTTTTTTGGATAAGTTCTGAATCACCCTGTATATAAAATAAATGTAAGTGATGACAAAAATATTTTCTTGGAGAAATTTCTAATGACAGCAGATCACTTGACTATAATTATTGGGTAACCAAAGCAAAAACTTTATCATGTACGACTTGATTGTTTTATATATTTTTAAAATATTAAACTTTTTAGCTTTAATTAAATTTATTCAATATTTGAGCGCATAAAAAACGTCATAAGTACTGCGGTTATTAAGTGCTTTACCAGTTTCGGACATTTCCTCAACCAGTAAAGAACACTTACTGAACTTAATACTTAATATACTATTACATACCTTCGAATTTAACGCAAAATTTTTAAGTCTTCAACAAAAACTATGTTTCTAAAAATATTAACTATTCCAACAAATGCTAATCATCGTAATATATGTAGCACTGTGGTATTCAGATGGAAAATCTAGCCTTATCAAGTTATTACGTGGATTACACCATTAGATTGAAAGGTATTAACATACTTAAAAAACCTATTATCTAGAGAGAACAAATGACAATTATTTTAAACTAGCATTAAAATGACGAAACATATGTATTGTTCTCGCAAAGAAATTTTTTGGTCACTTACTTTTTTCCAAGGCAAAATACTGATACGCCTCTTTTGAATTCTCCATTATAAAAACGCACAAATTAATACTAGGTACTGCTTAAATGAGTAAGTCAATGACAATTTTCTTTCGACTTCAAGAAATGTTATCATGATTATTCTACCATTACAGTAAACTTAAAATGTATAGGGTGGCTAAGTAAACGATATCTTAGTTTTAGGAAAAATGATGTAAATATAAATCATAATTAATATGCTTATATATAGTGATGTACTTAGTTGCTACGTAATATGTTTTGAATATATTTCAACTTAATAGAAGCTCGTGATAATTTCGAAGTAACCCAAACTTTGTTTTGCAACAAAAATAGCTCATTAAACAAATTGCGAATGTTATACAGACTTAAAAAACATTAATGTACCTTCAAGTGTCATATTCAACTCAGCGAACTCCGTTATAAATAGCCAAAGGTATTCTAATCATCTACGAATACTCCTTTTTTCATCACTACACTTGTAAACAAAATGACAAGATATACAATGCGACTGAGGTTTTCTATATTTGGGACATTGCCAGGCACAATATTTCAGTGATCTAATTTTATATCACACACCAAAACGCACCGTTTTTTTTTTAAATTGAACATATTTAATCATTAATCTAACTGACCTAATTCATTGACCTACCTTAATAATGAATTGTTAATAGTCATCCTTACACGAATTTGTTCGATAGAAGAACCTTTACCAACGTATTGAAACTTTTACTACATCGAAACAATGTAATGGGGGGGCCATCGTTATACAGGAAGAACGTCGTTATATTACAATTAAATAGAAAAAGTTAATTTATATGGTCGAAAATCTTGTTGAGATCAAAACAGATGTTTGAAAAATAAGACCGGATTTGATTACGGCTTTTTTATTTCACTGGGTTGAAGACTGTGTCCATAATTAGCCGTAAATCTCTGCCTGAGGAAATAAGAATGAAATACGAAGTAAAATCTATTAAATAAAAGGTTTGTTCAGAAAATAACTGAACATTTTGATTTAGGCGCTAATGGAGATAGATAGTGATATGTGGTTGGCAGCATTGCGTTGCGCATTACTTCCTTTGTAACCACATGTCCTTGGATTGTTGATGTCTCATTTAGTTTTCGCGATATTGTTATTTGAAAGCAACGTGTTTTAAGATTTAGTGACAATTTTTGAAACGTGCGATTTTCTGGAACAATGTTGCAACGTAAAATTTTGCATTGATCTTTACGGCTACGACATAGAGATAGAAGTTCAATAATCATAATGGATTTGCAAATGATCTCCACGTCTACCAACCCCCCGTCGCCCCCTTGAAGGAGATAAAGCCAATATTGTATAAAATTAATGATAAAGTTTAAAAAATAAAGTTCGATTATTTTTTGAACAGGCCTCATATATTTAGATTTAGTAACATTTTTAATGTTTTTATAGATGCTTTAATAACAGACAATTGAGTTTATTTTTTTGTGTTTGACTCTTGTTTTATTTCTAATATGCTGTTATATAGCTAAATGTTTTAATTATAAAAATTATTGACAGTTTCGTTTTGATGCTGGAGATATTGTGAATACGGGCGAGACTTTGAGCTTGATAGGTTCATTCGAAGTGAACTATAGAGGACGCGAGTTATTTTTAGGCCTCCCGTGATATACTGGTTTATATTTGTTGTGGCTATCAAAGCTTTATCAAGCAAAACCCTGATATGGTTGAACACAAACACAAATGGATTTAAACTGTAGTCGGATAACAAATAATTCTTCAATCTGAGATTGGAGCAGAATAATACAGTTCGTATGTTTAACTAGGCACATAATTAAAATATGACAATTTGTAAGAATACGCTTATAAAGAATATTTAATGTTGTGTTTGTTTAACGACGAAAATTATCAACAATACGAAATGCATATATAAAAAGCTTTGAAACAAGGAGGTTTGATAGCTTCGTGAATTTACTAAACCATTTTTTTTATCTATTTATCAAAGCCAACATTTTTTTTAAATTTATTATCTACATAGTTAACGTATTTAAATAATACTGACTTTATGTTTTTACTCATGTTGAGACGAAAAATTAAAAAATAAATAAATACTGCAGTGTTTTGAGTATTTTTATGCGAAAGTTAAAATTTCCTCATTGCTTCGTTGATAACAAAATAATATGAATATGTCGAATTCGTCGTTTTCTTTAAAACAGTAAATTTGCAAAATTAATCTAGATTCAATAATACATGAAAAAAAAACCTTGAACCTTGAACAAAATTAAAAAATTACAACCAAAATAAAATGTGGAGTAATATCTATACAGGGCGTAAGGTTTTAAGGGGGGGTTAGGGGTAATAATACATGTTTCCCTGAATATGAATCTGAAATTCTTTTTTGTTTAATCAAATAAATAGTTAGTTTTTGCGCCTTAATACTTACATTTTCCAAAAATATCGAAAGAAATAATGTAAGCGCGCTCATAACGCCCTGTATATTTATGTATATTTATCGTAATTACCTGAATAATAAATAAATTATCGTAAAAAAAGTGAAATAAAAAAACTACTTTCTCTTCTTAAGGAAGCAAAACGGTACTAAGGTAAGTTGATTTAAATCTCATTATTTTCATTCAAGGAAGCTAGCCTTGAATTATGGCCCATTTTTTGTAAACAATCTGAATAGTAATAGTTCTCTCTTAACAATCTTAATAGTAATAGTTTGAATTTTCTTCTCTTTTGAAATAAATTATTTTATAAAAATAAGTTCCCATTACATATTTTCAAATGTCAGGTACTTTTTACATAGTCAATTTAAATATTAAACTGATTAGTTTGGTTTTGTATTACTAAAAATAGAGACAAGACAATGTGGGCAAATTCTCAAAAAACTATTGGCGTCATTGTTTAGTGGAAAAATCTAAGCTTAAAGTCCCTAGTTTGACTGTACCTCAAATAATTGTTCTCATTAGCCTTAAAATAGCGCTTTGACATAGATATATCAATTTGTTATTTATATAATTAAAATATAATTAAAATTTATTTGCTTAATTTAACCACACGTAACAAAGAATTTGTCCAAACTGGCGCGTGGTTTTTTATCAATTTAAAAAATTTAGTTAAGTCCCTAGATTGATAAAGTACCGCGATCACCCGCCATTTTGGTACAAGTTAACTATTACCAACCTTGACATAGGTATATGATTGATATTCAATATATTTTTAAATGAAATACATATGTCTAAGGGAAATACTTAAACTTTTATTAGTGAGCAATTTTACTGTATATTTGAAAATAATTTAAAATTTTAATTCGNGTTAATACTCAAAACGTACCCTTAAGACTTGCATTAATTTTTTACAACACTTTAAACCAAGAATTTTCAAACATGACTATTTCCGAAGCACGTGTCGTTGGTGTAACGGATTTTATTTAGAGCACTGCTCTTAGTGACTAAAGGGCAGCGGCGTCAATAGAAGTGTAAGCCCCGCCCATTTTGCGACAATTCTTTGTCGTTTAGTTTTTAATTGAATTGAAGTGGTAACATTATTATAAATACACGACGGAGTGTTCCGAAAAACATTATCTACATTTGCTAAAAAATTCAAAAAAATATTCTACTTTAAACGACATTTCTGAAATTCGCCGCAAAATGGCGGCACCAATCAAAATGCTGCGACAACTTTGTCGTCACTGATGTCCTTTATATTAATTAAAACTTGGTTTTTGATTGCTTTGAATAAATATTATACTTACCTACATAGTCACTGTAGTATTATAAACTTCCTTTCTATTGATGTTAAATTACTTGTTATTTATGTAAATGTAATTTTACTGGTAACATTTCATGTAATTTACAAATTAGCTTGTAATTTATGTAATTTATGACATTTAAATTTTACGACATTTTAAAGTGTACTCAGCTTGTTTAGCTTCTCAGTACTCAGCTTCTATAAAACTAGTCCTGCAATTCATTGATTAAAAAATAATATTTGTCGATTTTTATGCAAAAAATTAAAAGCTATTAGAGCTTGTATAATCCTGGTCCTCATCCTCACTACCACCATACTCTTCAGAATGAATGCTAATATTGCTTAAATAAAAAAAAGGTTATAAAACCTTAAATGTCAAAATTGAAATTGGCGCGATATTTAAAATTAAGTGTAAATTAACATTAATTACAGTAAATTACGTAATTTACGTAAGTTACAAAAATTACATAAATTACATCCGTTATCTCGCGGTGCGTAATATTACGGTAATTTTACAGTAATTTATGTAAGTAATAATTTGTCATTTTACCATTTACATCACTATATCCCTTTCTCTTCAAAGTATTTGAAAATGTAGTTTATTTTTAAGAATAGATGTGGTAGTACAAGTTTTTGGGTAATAGAACTGATATCGTTTAAATACCGCATTTAAACAATGATAAAAAATTGGAATATACAATAAAAAAAATTTGAAATCAAATAAAACCGTAGAAAATAGAATATAAGTAGGTAGGTACTTATATTATATATACTGTGTATAAATATTGCCAAATTTATTGTCAAATATCGTGTTGAAAAGATGTTATTACTTAAGTTACATGATCAGCAACAAATTCTGAAAATATTACTGTCTAAGTTAACTAAGTTTAAGTGCAAAATTAATTCCTGACATAACAATCAATATGCCACGAATTGATACCACAGGCAATATATCTGAGCGATAAGCTATATTGTCTGTGGTTGAAAGCAGAGTTGAATCAGAGACAATATAGCTTATTATAGCTCAACTATACTGACTGTGATATATATATTCATACGCTGACTAGATAAAACAAATAAAGCGAGAGAGAAGTAGATTAAAATTTCGCATCGCATCTGTATCACAGACAAAATAGCTACTACGCGCTACTTATATCACTTATATCACAGACAAAATAGTTTCCTACGTACATACGTATTGATATAAAAATATATAGAGCATTATATATGTGAGTATTCGTGAACCCTTTGCGATGATTTCTCGTCTTAACCTTAAAAAATAGCAACAGACATATTTTATCCAGTATTAAAGAGGGATTACAAAATATACATAATAGA